GAGCAGGCACGGGGCTCCCCCTACTTGTGATTCCCTGAGAAGGTTCTACATTCATCTTCCTCTGCTCGATTTCATTAAGTGACTGATTGAGGGAGCAGCAGGGAAATAACGGTTCTGGATGTCAGAACCAGTCTCTGGCCAGGCTGTTTGTAAATTCAGTTAGCAGAAACTGTTTACATGGGTGTTTGGCCTTATGGAAAGCTGATGTAATGGAGTCGTATTTGCTAGAATGCACACACGATGTCTGAGGCTCCATTCCAGACATGCAACAGCCACAGCTTCAGCATTTGTTGCCAGGAAATGTCCATGACTGATTTCTCTGCCCTGGGACTTCCCAGCAGCAGCACTCCGTGTTCACAGGCTGCCAGAGGTCTTGCAATCTGGACAGTTTCTTGGGTGGTTTTTCAGTTTCCATGACTCTTTTCACTATGGGAAATCTGACACCCCTGTATCATGAGCATATGTTCATGGTACAGCCTTCCCTGTAAGTCAGCTGGGCAACTGCTCGGCTGGCTGCCTGTGAGCAGCAGCCTGGCACTGAGGGGTAGACAGGAGTCACCCACAGTAACCATGCTACTCACTCGGCTTTCATTGACTGCAGGTTCACTCTCAGTAGAACATCAACATACATTAATATCCTACTCACACTCTAAAAAGCTACGAGAAATGTAACATGCACAGGCAGCAGGCAATGGGAGATGATGAACTGAAGTCCCAGAACCTCTGTCTGCAGGTCCAGGAGACAGCACGGTGGGCAAGGGAGTCATTAGTGTCTTGCAAGGAAGGAACTCCAGAGCCAGGTGGGCAGCAGGGCAGACAAGGTCCTCAGTCCAGTAGGGCAGAGCCTCTGGCAGCCGATGCCAAGGGAGAGCCGTGTGGCGTGGAGCAGAGCTCTGGGGCGTGGAGCTCGGCTGTCTCAGCAGGGGTCTGAAATCTGTCTCAGTTATACCTTGAAAGTGGTGTACCCTACCCTTCTGGGTCTTTTTAGTAAATGTCTTGGCACCTCTGATGGCAATTTTCCCAGGAGCTTATTTTTGGGCGGTCCCCTGTGGCAGACTTTGTTATTCAGATCACATATGCTTACATAATATCTTAAGTGTGTCTCCTTGCCAGATATGGCTAATCTGACTTAGGTCGTTTCCCTCTTGAATGAAAGTGTCATGGCGGCCTGGCCTTGTGTTTGACATGAGTGCTTCCATTTTGTTTTATGTACTTTATGCTCTCTTGACCAGACCGATGCCATTTTATTGGTTTGCTCTCCACATCTTGATAGCTATAATCACTGTCTTTTTGGATTTTCTCTAAATGAGTCTTCCTTTCAGTTGGGGTTTCACAAAAACACAGAAAGAGAAAGTCAGTCGAACAGGTGTACGGGAAGTTTGTGGGCAGAGGGAAGCAGCACTTACATTCAGTTGGGTGTTTCATGGTGTCGTGACAATGGTGTGAGGTGTTGAGATGCTCCCAGCATCCTCCGCCACCCTCTGCCCCTAAGGAGGCCATATATGCATCCACCTCCCTGCTCTACCCCCAGCAGGGCTTAAAAACACCATCTCATTTGAAATAACAGCACTACACCACCACTGTGAGGGACAAACTGACTGGACAGGCCTGGCAGGTACCATGGAATGTTCTCCTCGCCAGGTGCACACTCACACCTGTGCTGTCTCCCTGATGTCTGGGACAGTCAGGGGTTTTAACTCCTATCATGTCTCTTCAGCAAGAAGCGTCACCTCTTGTTAGTCTCATTATTAATTTCTTAAAAAGAGATTTTAGCCTTCATAAGACTACGGATTTTAGAACTGCCCCTCTACGTACAACTTCCCTTCTGTTTTATCTGAGCTTTTCAATATGGATCACATATCTTACGATAGTAAAGGAATGATAATCAGTAGTAATCAGGAGTCTTAGTGGCGTGAGAGCTACTATTCTAAGAATTTGATACCAATTAGCGAATTTAATGCACACATCAATGTTATGAGGTAGTTGTTACCCATTTTGTAGGTGGAGGAGCCGAGGCCAGAGAGGTTAAGGCACTTGGCCAGAGTGACATGGAGAATTAGTGACAGAGCTGGCCTTGGTTCGGGCTGCCCGGCACGGGAACCCACGCCCTGAGCAGTGGTCGCCCTTCCGCCTTGTTCTCGTCAAATATTTAAACTGCCTATTTCTGCCCTGGCTGATGTGGCTCAGTGGGTTGAGCGCTGGCCTGTGAACCGAAAGGTTGCTGGTTTGATTTCTTGTCAGGGCAAATCGCTGGGCTACTGGCCGGGTCCCTGGTGAGGCGAGTGCGAGGGGCAGCCAGTCGGTATTTCTCTTGTACGTGGATGCTTCCCTCTCTTTCTCCCTCTCTTCTCCTCTCTCTGAAAATAAATAAATAAAATCTTGAAAACTAATAAACTCCCTATTTCTATATCATTGGCTTTTTGTTAAGAGGCAATGATAATTAATTATAAATGTAAAAACTTTGATGGATACAAAACCTGTCTTCTATTAGGTAGAACTTTGCAGATGGGACCAAACATGCATTGACAAATACCGGTTTTGAAGTGGATTATACCGCTGGACACCTGATCAAAGGATCTAAACAGAAATTCTCAGTACAACCAGGAATAAGTCACTTGGGGTTTGCAAGACGGTGTTTTCCTAGACCCCTTCATGCCCCCTGGGGACCTCCCTTCAGGAGCTAGTGTTACTGAAGGCAATTAGATAGGAAAACACACTCCTCCTACGTCTCTCCTTTACTCTCGCACTATCAGCACACTCACCACATTGTTAACACCAGGTGTGTGGGTCTTCCACATAGCAATTCAGTTCCATTCAATCCAGTTCAATCCAATCCAATCCAATCCAACCCAATCCAATCCAATCCAGTTCTACCTGGAACTAGTGTTAGATCCCACAAGGTAAGGGCTTATTCCCATAAGGCTGCTTCCATGTCCAGAGCCAGTCTCAAGTCCCAAGTTGTACTTCTGACCCACCAGCTGTAAATTGGGGTTCTTTATGACCCCCTCCATGGGTTCAATAATGTGCTAGAATGGCTCACTGAACTAAGGGAAATACTTATCTTTATTGGCTTATTACAAAGGACACAGTAAAGACAAACAGCCAGATGAAGAGGTGCACAGGGCGAGGTTCAGAAGGGTCCCCGGCACCAGGAGCTTCTGTCCCTGTGGAGTTGAGTGTGGAGGCCTCCTAGCACATAGATGTGTTCACCAACCTGGGAGGTCCTTGAGCCTCATTCTATCACGATTTTTATGGAGGCCTCATCACATCGGCATGATTGATTAGTAAGTCCGTATCCAGCCCTCCTTCCCTTCCAGGAGGAGGGAGGGTGGAGCGGAAAGTGCCAGCCTTCTCCTGATGGCGTGGCCTCCCCCACGACCAGCCCCACCGAGGAGCTGCCAAGGGTCTCCTCATCAGAACAAAACACGCTCCCATCACCCCGGAAATTACAAGGGGCTTAGGAGTTCTCTGTCAGGAACTGAGGTCAAGGGGTACATGTTAGAACAAAAAAATTCTCCCAGTACTCTTATTCGCAGGGTTTTAGTTTTGTCTCGGGAACCAGAGCCAGATTATACATACATTTTATTATTTTACAGCAGTGTATCATATTCCTTAGTTTCCTCAAAACACCTGAGTCCTCTCTTTTGTGTTGGAACAGGAAAAGAAAAATGGTTGAGCACTATTACGTAGTGAATGCACTTTACTAGAAAGAATCAAGACTCAGAAAGTCAGCCTTGGCCCTAAAGACCATACTGTGCAGCTGACACAGAGCCCCTAAGCCAGGTGGATGCGCAGGTTCCCTGCACAGGTTTCTCTCTCACTTCTGGGGATGCTTCTCACTCATCCCTGTGGCTGGAGAGGTTTGAATGCAGGTGACTCCTAATGGGGTGGCGAAATGCAAAATTGCAGCCTTTCTTAAATGTGGTTTGATTTTGCCACTCACAGAGGTACGGGGAAGAGCAGGTAACAGAGGAAATGAGAAGCAGCAAACATCTACTTTGGAGTGGAAGTACAGAGTCCAGTTAGTGAGGTCTTTTACCACATTCCAGCTGGACTTCTTTGCCTTCTTTTCTGGATTGGATGCCTTTAGTTTTGGGAATATCAAACCCCAATCATGCTGGCTGAAATAATAACAGGGGTTTACTTGTGAATATGCTGGTTTTAGAGGTGGTTTGACTTGGTGCCTCAGTGATATTATCCGGAACCTTCTTTTCTCATTTCTCCTACTCTGCCTCTTGTGGAGTCAGAGTCACTCTTTTATGGTCATCATGATGACTGCTAGCAATTTCCAGGCCAAGAGTGTCCTCGGCCCACTGAGATCGGAGGGAGTCAGGAGGGCTGTTTCTGTTCGAAGAGCTTCTATTCCTAGAGCCCCTCACTGATTTAATCTGGGTCATGAGTTCCCTCTTGAGTCAGGAACTGGAGCCGGGGCTGTTCCTGACTCGCCCAAGTGCCCAGCCTCAAAAACCTGTGGTAGAATCAGTTTTCACCAGACCTGGATCTATAAAAAGAGTTAGTCAACCCCTGAGAAAGATGGGAGATCTGGTATAGTCATCTCTAGAAAGGTAGTCTATCAGTTAGGGAACCAAAACTCTCACTACTTTTTCGATGATTGACCAATCCTTGTTGTATACGCATAATTTCAGGTTTCTGCCAGAAAGTAGAAAGTTGCTATTTTTGAAATTTTATGTTTTTACTGTTTTGTGACTTTCAAACCTCCTTTGTTGTCCTCCTCTCTCCTTCCTTTACCCCCTTCCTCCTCCTTTCTCTCCCTCCATCTTTCCCCTTCTTTCTCCTTCCACCTCCTTTTTCTTCTGTTTTTCCTTTTCCCCTTTTTCCTCTTTCTCCCAGGTCCCCTTCCTTCTCCTCCTTTCCCCTAGTCGCTCCTTTATCGTCAACCCCCTTAAACTGATGACTCTGTCATTTACTTAACTCAGCAAAGCTGGCTCAGTACAGTGTAGTTTCTCACTAAATAGAATGCCTTCCCATTTGTCCTCCAGGAAGAAGAAATGCCAGATGTAGAAATTGACATCGATGATCTTCTTGATGCAGACAGTGAAGAGGAGAGAGCTTTAAAGTTACGGGTAAGCAGCTTTCAAAATCTGGAACCTTCTGGTCACAGATGCGAGACTCCACCTGGGTCTCCAGAGCGTGGCCTGCGTTGGCCCTGCCTGTGGCGGTGCTGGCTCCAACTCTTGGGCAATGGCAGTTTGCTGAGAGGAAAGCAATGGAATGCCAAGTATTCACTCTCATGAAACACGCCTTTGATGACAAAGCAGTTCTTGATGGCAGTCAGTTCTCAAAGCAACTTAGGGATATGGATTTGTCCAGCCTCATCTTCTTGAGAGGGAGATCTGGCTCTGCCTCCAGAGACCTGTTGGCCAGGGAAGGAAGTGACATCACAGTTGTATGAAGAGAAGGGCAGGGGTAGAACTGGAGTATCTAAACCCAGGGCTCCAGTCTCGCAGCTGTGGATTATATCATTCATGGCATTCCTTTCTACACAAGGTTGTTTACAGCATAATTCTGTTTAATAAAATATCTTTTGTTAGAGTATGCTCACCTGGTAGCATTCTAGTACAACTATGGATGTTGAGATGTCTCGTGGTTCCTTAGTCCAGAGTAATGCAATATTTATTTACCTTCCCAGAGGGGGTCAAATCTGTCATTTTAAAATCTGTATCTGTATGTGGGAGTTTCTAAAACCAATAAACCTTTGATCTACCAATGTTTTTAATGTTTGCCGATAATTACTGTTAATGGCTGTTGGTAAGGGCCAGTGGCAAATGACTGCTAAAGGCAATTAAAGGGCACATTTTAGTATATTAATATGTTTAATGTGTTAATAATTACTAATGGCCCTTGAGTGGTGAACAGTCGCAGTGTAATGATTATTTCTAACTGGCAAATTTAATAGGGAGATGAAAGTCAAAAAACTAAAGCAGGCATCAGTTCTATGCAGAATGTAATGACACAAAGTTTTCTTAAATTGAGAACTTGAAAGGGGCTTTAGCTACTGAAAGGTCATTCCCTTTGGTTCCCAGCCAGGCCCCTCCTGCTCTAGTGTGATTGTCACTATCTTTCACAGGCTGTCTCAGTTTAAGTCTATCCAGTTGGTTATTACCAAAGCTGGCAGCCCAAAGGGGAGTGTGTGTGTGTGTTTGTGTGTCTTTGTGTGTTCTAGAGAGAGTAAGGCATTTACGCATAGGAAGGACACAACTCTTTATTTCAGCATTCATTGGCCATCTAAAGATATAAAGTGTGAATCTAGAGAGTCAATATGAAATATTGATTTACCATGTTTAGAATAGTATTCTACAGATGAAAGAGTTTTCAATTTCACTTTTGAAATGCAACTGAATTTTAAAATAATAAAACTTACTTTCTGTGTATTTCATTCTAGGAAGCGCTCGTAGACTGCTACAAGCCAACAGAGGTAAACAAATCATGTTTCCTAAAGGCTGTGTTTGAATTATTTTTTATTAAATCAGTTTATTTTTAAAGCTAAATCACAATAACTGAGTTTGATTAAGTATGGACTAAGTAACACTTGTTATCCTAAGGGGAGTACATATGTTTGAATATTCCTACTTTCCTTATTTGTAAGCCTAAACATGTCTGGTTTAGGAAGACTTAAAGCTAATGGAATCTCATGCTTGTTTTTATATAAAAGCCAGACTTCAAAGGTAATTATAAGACATTTTGGAATATTTAGTAAAAGTCCTAGGTTTGTAACTGGAGAATACATTTTATTAGTGTATAGGTATGTATTTTTAAAAAGCTTGAAGCCAATTCTGTTGTTCAAAATTGAATGGTTGCCTTTCTTGGGAGAATACCTTTTATGCTTTGTTTGGATATTTACTAAGTGTATAAATACTAATGTGAAAAACAGGTATATTAGTTTAATTAGACTAAAGCATTTAATATGTACTCTAATGACTGAAAGAACAATGTAGGAATTAAGGATTTGATCAGTTATGGAAATATTGATAACAGAGAAAGTACAAGATTCATCAGATGCTTTGGAGTCCATTTGGTGGTAGGACTTGTTTTATGAAGTGGTGGTATTACAAAGTGAGGGGAAAGCATTCTTTTATAAGTGTGTTCAAGATTTAAATGACTGGGGTGTTTAATGATCATTGGTTTGCAGCCAGTTACTGCTTATTTAAGCTTTATTCATACTATCTCCAGTTTACATTTGTATTGATTATATCTTGTAGTTATAGAGATTTTTAACTTTAATTTTAGTTATTAAAATATATTTTAATTAATGTCATACATAATCATAACTTTGAAGACCAAACATACCATTAGTTTATAAATAAAAAATAGCAGTGCCTTCCCCACCCATCGATCCACCTCCCTAGAGATATATACTTTATTTATATCCATATATTATATTTATGTGTTTATACAGTAACATTTTTGGCTGTTTCCCTGCTATTTACTCTTATATTTTTTACAACTCTTTTTTTTTATTGACTTAAGGGGAAATGTGGTAGCTCTCTCACTCTCCACACAATTTATTTCCCTTCATCCCCTCCATAAAGTTATTTAACATTATTTGTTAAATTAGTAGTCAAGTATAATCATATTATGATTTAAACAAATGTTTTCCACTGCGAAACCAAACAGCAAGATTTGACCATGGCTCCTTTCTTGTATAGCCCTTTGTTTTTCCTGGAGTTGATAGTTTCCTTGTCTTTATTTTGTCTACATACTCTCTATTGCTATATTTTGTTGAACTCTTCAATATCTTTGTCAAACATGTAATAATGTATTTTATGTACATTTAAACACATCATTACCGTCCCCCAACTCCAGACTTTCCTTATGGAGCCCCTGTGGCAACGATCTGGAGAAGCTATTCTCTCAATCTACTGAGTAGCTACTGTCTTGAGATTTCTGTTTAGTGCTATTCCACATTATATGCTTTGTTTCTCAAATCCCAGACTTTCTCAATTTAGTTGGATTGCATCACCCGGTAGCTTTCTGATAAATGATTCACAGAAGGTAAATTTTTTAATCCTTTCATGTATGAAAATAAATCTTGATTAGTTGGGATGATGTAGAATTCCAGAATAACATTTATTATTAAAACTCAATTTTAAACGCATTACTCTATTGTTGTATTGCTTCTATTGTTAAGAAGTTTGATGTCATTTCTATCCTCAGACATTTATTTGTGTGTGACCTATTTTTCCCCCTTCACATTTTGAATTTTGTAATGATATGCTGTAGCATGGGTCTTTTTCTACTCTTATGCTGCGTATTTTCCAAGCTGTTTTAGTCTGAAGATTTATATCTTTAAGTTCTTCAAAAATTACCTTTTATTATTTTTATTAACTTTTTCCTGAGAAGTATATATTTGTCATTCTCATTATTTAGATGGTACATCTTCTGAACGGAGCATCTAATTTCTTAACTTTTCTCGTGTTTTCCATCTTCTTGACCTTTTTTTGCTCTCCCTTCTGAAAGATTTCCTTGACTTTATCTTCTAGCCTTTTTACTGATATTTTAAAATTTCAGCTATTTTATTTTTATCTCTAAGAACCCTTTCTTGATCTCTGGTCATTTTTTTGGTTTAGTATTTCTTCTTGTTTCCTTGATGCAGTTTGTCCTTTTTCTCTTTTAGGACATTGATCAGATGTTGTCTTTTTTGTTGTTGCTTTTGCTTTTAAGAATATTCTGCTCTTTACATTGTCTCTGTTTTCTCTGCATCCACCTTTTTTTTCTGTCCATTTTCATCTGCCCTTGTTGAATTTGGGGAGTGGACTCATGTGTGAGCATTAGGGAGCCAGTAAGCTGATTGAAATCTGTGTGTGTGAACATAGCCTGTCCATTGGTGGCTGTCCCTGTGGAGTCACCAGGTGACAAACCAGATTGTTTTCATGGTATATGTGTATGGAACAAAAGGATTGCTCAAAATGTTGTTATTTGGACCTTTGTTTCCTCTGGACCAAGAATGGGAAGGAGGCAAGAGATCTGGCCATTTAGGTTATTTGGAAACAGAGCTCCTTTATTTATAGTTAGTTGGGGAATTAATGTGAGAGTTGAAATATTTATTTGGAAAATGATATTAAATTATTCTGAAGGGTTAGACAAAGAATAACAGGATTATGCTGATGAATTAGCATATGATGTGGGATGGGAGGGTCGTGGCTGAGAGTGAGTCTGAGTAAATGGCTAAATAAGCCATTTACTTATTTTTTAATTTCCTTTTTCTTCAGTTTTTCTTCTAGATGGAGAAGTTCATGTTTTGGTTGTGTAGGTGGGAAATGTTGGACTTGCTTCTTTCTTTTCTAATTGGCTCTGCAGCCAGGCAGCAGTAAGAAGTCATTTTCAAGCTCCCACCTAAATGAGCCCTGTTCTCCCCAATTTTTCAGCCAAGTTTATCTGTCTATTAAAGGATCATTTCAGAAAAGGTTGGATAATTTTACCTTTGAGCTGATGTTCATAAGAAACCAATCTTACTGGCACATGGATTGTGATGATAAAAAACAGATAGCTTTCTTTTATTTTCCCAGGGCTCTATAGTTCACATTGTGGTAATGAATGCTCTCTTACTTAATCTTCACAATCATTACTTGAAGAGTTTGGGCAACTTATCTAAGACTTCACAGGAGTGGGTGAAGAAGCCAGGACTTAACTCCAAGGTCTTGACTGCTGATCTTGCACTCTTTCCATCTTGCCAGTCTTCCAAAGCTACTTAACTCAGTAAGACTTTCAGGACATTAAAGGCTTTTGTCCTATCTCAACTAAATGCCTAACAATGAATGATCCTCTTTTTCAAGTAGCTTTCTCTGGGGGATTTTTTTTTTTTTTTTTTTTTTTTTGTGAAAAGGATTTTACATACAATTATACTGCTTTGAAGTTAGAAACATAAAGAAGATGTCATTGCTGATCCAGGTACATTTTAATAGGAATATTGCAGAGGCAGGGTAGGGCATGGAAAGAAAACTAAACTTTGAATCAAGAGCCTTATGCCAGCACCAGTATTCATGAGTTCATGACTTCAAGCACTTTTTTCAAACTCCCCAATCCTAGAAGATGGAACTAATAATGAATGACCTCCCTGGGCTTTAGAAAGGACTATTTGCAATAATAATAATTTTAGTGATAATAACAACAACAATACAATTACTAAATAGTTACTAAGCACATGCCAGGCACCAATCTAATCACATCACATGTATTAATTCATTTTATTTTCACAACAAAGCTATGAGGTTGACATTTTTGTTTTCACTTAGGAAATTTGAGACATAGAAAGGCTATGTAATTCATCTAAGTAACATAATTAGTGGAAAAACCAAGGTATGAAATAAAATACATAACGTGTTCATAACATGAAGCTTGGAACATGCTAGTTAATCTGGTTCTTTATAAAGTAATGCTTCTCCATTATGTAGTAAATATGCAAAATGCCAAAATTCACCAATAATGATGTTCTTGAATTATTCAGATGAAGAGTAGACTTTGAAAATTCTGCCAGTTTCACCAATATATCCCCTAGAGCAAGGGATATCAAGGAAAGAATAAACAAATGGGACTACATCAAATTGAAAAGCTTCTGCATGGCTAAAGAAAACATCAGCAAAATGAAAAGGAAACCAACCATATGAGAAAATATATTTGCCAATAATACCTCAGACAATGGTTTGATCTCCAAAATATATAAAGAACTCACATAACTCCACACTGGGAAGACCAGCAATCCAGTTAAAAAATGGACAAAGGACCTGAACAAACAATTTTCCAAGGAGGACATACAGAGGGCCCATAGGCATATGAAGGATGCTCTGCATCACTAGCCATCAGAGAGATGCAAATGAAAACTACAATGAGATACCACTTCATACCAGTGAGAATGGCCATCATAAACAAATCAACAAACAACAAGTGCTGGTGAGGTTGTGGAGAAAAGGGAACCCTAGTGCACTGTTGGTGGGAATGCAGACTGGTGCAGCCACTGTGGAAAATTTAGTTTTCTAGTTCCTCAGAAAGCTGAAAATGGAACTGCCTTTTGGCCTGCCAATTCTACTGCTTGGATTATACACTAAGAATCCTAAAGTACCAATTCAAAAGAATCTATGCACCTCAATGTTCATAGCAGTGTTATTTATGATAAGCAAAGTGCTGGAAACAGCCTAAGTGCTCATTAGAAAATCAGTGGATAAAAAAACTGTGGTACATTTACCTAATGGAATACTACACAACAGAAAGAAAGAAAGAGCTATTGTTCTTCAAGACAGCATGGTTGGAACTAGGGAGCATTATGCTAAGTGAAATAAGCCAGGCGGTGAAAGACAAATACCGTGTGATCTTACCTATAAGTGGAACCTAATCAATAAAACAAGAGAGCAAAATAGAACCAGAGACATTTAAATAAAGAGCAAACTGACAGGGACCAGAGGGGAGAGGGGAGAAGGGTGA